TTAATATAGCTAATACTTTATCTATTAATTTCAACTTAAGATATATACAGTATATATGTAAATAAATAATTGTTCATATTATAATTTAAAAAATACTTAAAAGAGGAATAAATTATATTTTGTATTTTCAGTTGCAGAAATTTAATATTTTATACATATATATTTGTGTGTGTGTGTGTGTGTGTAAAATGTTAAAAAAGGAATTGAATAGAACAAAATATATCATCAAAATAGGCAAAATTGGATTATTTAATTATAACGACAAGTAATATTATAATATATCATAGAGACTCCTTGTTTGTTTAAAATAGTTCTGATATCTCTATATCTTACAGATTATGTAGATTATGTGAAATAACAAAATCTTTAATACATATCTCAATGGTATTTAAGTTGTAAATAATTAAACTTAGAAATTGTCAATAAATATTACAGACAGTTCACCCAAGAACAAATGAATATGCTTTTTCAAATCTGATAGTCAAACTATTTAATACTTAAAAGTTATTAACTGTGTGTTTAGAATATTCCATTCCTGTACAAATATATCTGCATAAATATATTGTGAAAAAAAAATAGATGTCAAATTTTTGCATCTATTCTAAATATGAGAACAAGAATTAATCTTTTTAACGTTGTAAGAAACACGTTGATGAAAGTGTTGTGTTGATATTTATGCAATCGTGTATGTGTGTGTGTGGAGATTTGAGAAAATCACATAGTTTTTAAAAAAGTAACAAATTGCTTCGTAAACGAGCCTATCAGCACTGTATTACATCAAATGGAATATGATAAAAGATAGAGACAATAGGCAAAAAAGAAATATGATACAATGGAGAATAAACCGTCTGTCTACCAATTTATCTATAAACTGGATAGAATTTGCTCTTGCTATTGACAATTGCTGCAACAATGCACGTCTCTCATTTTTAATTGAGACACTACAAATGGACAACAATGGTAACAACATAATAATGTATTATAAAAAAAGGAGAAAAAAAAGGCGAATTAAAGGGGGGAAAGTTCGATTGGAAGTAAAAAAGCTGTGATCGCGCGGACAAACCTGTCCACGATTCAAGTCGGAAAGAAGGCCAAGTGCACAAACCCGCAACCGGGCGCGATTTCGATGATGCAGAGGCGCAGAGGCGCAGAAAGAGCAAGATGGGCCAAGAAAGGCGGAGGGCGGACGAACGTCGTAAGCCGCGGGCGAATATTATCTCGAATATTATCTCTTCGCAGGAGAAAGGAACGGAGGCAAAAGGAGACGCGCGAAGGCAAAGAAAATACAAGGAGGATCACGCGTGTTGCCGACCGTACGTGCGTTGGCGCGCACCGTAAATCCACTTACCATTAACGTCGTGTATTAGGAAATTCATCGTTTTGTTTTGCTGTGTCATCTCTGACGTTATTGGGCCGTCGATCGGCTGAGGACGATAGCGCGAATGGGCCGTGCGAAAAAGGGAGATAAAAAGATCATAAGGGCCACACTCAGCTCGAATCGTCGGCTCGGCGTATCACCAAAATGGCGACCTCGCATATAAAAGCACTCGCGAGGGTGATTTGCGAGGTATCGCGCGTCGCGAGACCGTCACGATCCGTCAGCCGTGGCAATTCGGCGTCTTCTTTATCGCGATCGGCTACGCATTATTGGAATGAGCTCGGAATATTCGCGCTCTACCCGCAGCCACTCTGGCCCTGCAGCTTCCGCGTGCACACGGACTGGAAATGAGCTTGGCGGCACGACAAAGCTAAACAGCTGATTGGCCGGCCACCGGTCACATGGTCGCTCTCCGCTCTCGTTCCACGTTACGCGGCGCCTCTCTCGTGACGCGCGCGCCAATTTCTCTTCTTCCGATTATAATACGAGGTAACCGTTTCTTATTGGTTCTTTAAATCTGCCATATTTACGTAATAGTCAAAAACGCCAATTTTTTATATTGTATATTGTAACATTTCAAAATAGCGTAGCATGCGTAATTAATATTATATATAATAGTACAAGCAATGGCAGTGCTGTTGTCTTCTTCCGATGCAATTGCAGGTATCAATAAATATTTAGTTTAACTTTATATTTCGTATACCTTTTCTAAAGTCGATTCTGAGTCGACTTGGAGACGTTTCTAAGTCATACAATGTTCTACTTTAAAGACGACTGTAAGTCGACTTTAAGTCAATCATTCTAGGCTGTGGTCCGATTCATGTCTACAGCGCTTATGAACAGCATTCATTTTTGTTTAACAGTTAAACAACAAGGACAAAATGATTCCACATTTAAGCTTTGTGAGCGTAAATCGCACTAGACGTCCTAAAGTCGACATTGGAAGGACATCTGTACAAAGTCGACATATCGACGTTTGTGCTGTTAGGAAAAGTTTACTATAATATAAATTTGAGACTGGTTTTCTTTCTTCTAAGTAGTTAAATTCCACAATTAGTATCTCAGACCTCTGCTACATGGCACGCTTAATCGGGTTTAATAATTGACCAATTATAACTGTTCCTCGGAAGAATATAATTCGATTGTGATTGGCCAGTTTTATAACTATGGATATTATTAAATCTGATTAAGAATGCTGTCCCATGACAGTCGGAATTTCGGAAAAACGGAATCTGTAAACATTGTTAAATCACAATCGAGTATTCTCCTCTCATTCGATGATAAGAAAAGATGATTGGTCAATTTTTATAGATTATGGTATACGGCATATAGTTACGGCCAATATAAATGCTCCCTAAGTGTACTCTCAGATTCTCTAGAGCGTGATCTACAATATTTGGCGCTACAAATGCTTCGAAGTATTTTTTTGATTGGTCAATTAGTAAAATTCTTTCTTTTAATTGGCCAATCATAATCTTCGCACCAAGTGGACCGTAGCTCTAATCTGATTGCGATTTAAAGCTGCCTTCTCATGCAACTTGAGTAAGGGTGCCTTCCCATGACACGTATCGCTGTACGCGCGTATTCGCGTATCGAAGGATCTGATCAATCACTGGCCTAGTTTCCACCGAGAGTTTAAACCGGACTAAGAGTGCCGTCACATGCGATGTAACCTGCGTAGGGTGTTATTTTATTTGTAGAACAAATATGTAGAACAGAGAGGTCCTCGGATCTTTCTATCCCATAAAACCAACAATCAACAGGCTTGAAAAATTTGTCATACAACAAAAACGCACAAATGAAATGTCACCCTAAAGTCCTAGACACAATGCGAAGAAATACCGATAGCGATAGAGGTAACACGATTTCAATCTATTAGAAACTGCATATTCCAGTGTATCTACTTTTTGACAGGTTGAAATCGTGTTATTTCTATCGTTATCGCTATTCCTTCGCATTGAGTCTGGAGCTTAAAAGTAATCTGCGTGTTTTAGTAATATTACTAGAACAAGTTATTGGGTCATCTAAAAAGTATCCGCGGTACTTTGTCACTAGATATATAACTATCAACACACATCTAGTGACAAAAAACCGCGGATACTTTTTAGATGACCCAATATTTCATATGGTGAAAAAGCTGTGCAACAACTGTCGGTAGTCGTGTAAAACAGTAAAGTTGTAAACAGTAAAATTGTGTTAAACACAATAGGCAACAGTGAATAACGAGCCGTCCAATCAGAACTCTTATATGTGTAAGTTCGATATTATATCTCAGAGCTCTGATTGGACACCTCGTTATTCCCTATTACTTATGCCTATTGTGTTTATGACCGGTATTCATAGTTAATTCTTATATTCAAAATTGTCTTAAGTTCAACCTTAAGATGTTAAGAATCAATCAAAGGGCCGATTCGCATTTTAAAATATTACTTAACACAGTCTTGAAATGAGAACTGACTATGAATACCAGTCTATAAGCCTTTACTTGTGTCAACTAATCATGGGTGTATTTCGAATCAAGTAGGTCCTGCATACAATAAAAAAAATAAAGAATTAGGAATAAAGAATAAGATTTTAATCTATCAGAAATCGAATTCATCGGAATACATGGTTTTTGATAGGTTGAAATCGTTTATTCTTTATTCCTAATCCCTTACTCCTTCTATTGTATGTAGGGCCTTAGTTTATATTCTTTTTCCTAGATATTGGTAATCCCGTAAGTCCAGATCTACATATAGGTATTTTAAGTCTTAAGTCGTAAAAAATTGACCAACTATAGTCAAATGCGAGGAAAATAATTGATTGTTATTTGTCTATTTATTATGGCTTAAAATCTATTGTAAATCCGGGATAACTAAACCGAAAAGTGTTCCGAACCCAACAGCCATCTGCATAAAGATGCCTTTTCATGCTGACGCTCGATATGCATTTTCAGAATAGATCCCATGATCAAAATTGACGCTTGATATTCATCAATATCTATAGGTACATTTTCACGCTGCTAAAATAAGCAATTAGAATGACAGATTTGTCGCTCGTTATCCAATGACTGAAATTTTATAATTTAAACAGTTTCAATTATAAGCGTCGAACGCTCAAACGATATTGATAAGGCTGACATATTGTATCGATCGTGTTGATCACCGTTGATTGCGATATACATAACCTAATTTATTTTTTTTTGCTGATCTAGATAGAGGATTCGATGCAATCAGAATAATCTAGTAACTGTTCAATTCAGCGTATTAATATTGCAAATGATACATGAAAAATACGAACAACATATCGAATTTGTCGTTCAAATATCAAATTTAACGCTTCTTATCCTTTTTCATGTACAAAATTCCCGCTCTAATTATATAGTTATAATAGTTAGTTAGTAATTATAATAGGTTTGCGACAAAAGTCATCGTAATCTTTTTCAGTCATCACTGAAATAGTCATATCGTGTATATATTCTCAATCCGTGCATCTTCTAAATCAACTAAAACTTTGTGTTGATATCGTCTTTGTATAAGTAAATTCTTTTTCCTATTTTTTGATGACAATTTAAGCATCCAATTCCTTGTTGGTAAACAACAAAGTCCTTTTTTTATTAATATAAAATCAGAAAACATTTGTAGATGTCATATATAAGTATATTATGAGAGCGTTAAAATATACACGTAACTCGATACGATATATTTGTTAAACATTTCTATAATAAAAAAACATGCCTAGATCTAATCTATTAGGATTAGGATCGAACATTGCTCATGTTTATTTTGGCCAATAAGCGCTTATTTGCGCTCACGCTTTTGCTGTCCTACTTCGATGAAATAAGCATTTGTGAGCACGAATATGACGTCACAGATAACGTCATAAACGCATCTCTAAGCGCTTACACCGCCAAAGCAAACATCATGAGCAATGCTTATAAGCGCTTAAAGCATGTAAGTGTGCAACCCGAACGCAATCGGAAGGGCAAACAAAGCAATGGCTGTATTCAGCAGAAAAAACTTATCAGTTAGCGCTTAGTGATTCTTTAATATGATTGATTCTTATTTTTAGTTTTTCATTGGATCTACATGTAGCAATCAACCATATTAAAGAATCATTAAGTGCTAACTGATTTTTTTTTTCTGCTAAACGCAGCTAATAATCGTGTCAGCAGTAGGTGTTCGATCTTCTAAGAGAATGGTGTTGCAATATGTTAGATAAGGACAAATGAATGCATTTGATCACATAGAACTTATAGTAAAAGAACCGAAATAACCTATCCAAGCAGTGAGTGGTGTGAGCAACATCTGAGATAGAATATGCATTTCTATATATTTCTGTCCTGTTCAGCAACTTTTCTTCTTTCTGCGCATATGCCAAAATAGGATAGAAGAGAATAGAATAATATTTCTGTCCTTTAGATGTTGCTTACACAGCTCGATGTTCGTATTCCCCTTCCATTACTATAAGTTCTATGTTTGCGAGACACAACGATATGTAATAAGTAAGAACTTAATGAAAGATGTCACTATTGTTAAATTTGGAATTAAAGTCTGTACTATCGACCTCGATCAAGTTCAGCCGTCGATCCAGCATCCCCTTAAAGAAGAACGAAGAGCACACAGTATTCATAGTTCGTTTTCATTTTAATACCATCTTAAGGAATCTTGAAGTTGTCTGTATCATGATCTACAGGGTGGGCCATCTATTGGTACGTTTTTGAATTTCGTCGTATGGCAACACCGAACGAGCTACAGACCCGAAATTTTGACAGTTTATTAGTCATACCGTCCGCGGCACGAAACAACATGTTTTCTCTTGAAGAGCGTTTTGAAATTTTAAAAACTTATTTTCAAAGTCAGTGCTGTGTCGCCGAAACTGTACGAATTTTGAAAAGAAATATGGGTCGTGATAGAGCACCCACCGAAGGAGCTATACGCAAATTGGTGAGGAAAGTTCGTGAGAAAGGGATGTTAGTGGATGACATTATATTACGACTGTTTTGAGTGAAATTGGCGCCGAGGTAGTCCAAAATGTCATTAATAATTGGGGTGACCGAATGGCATACTGTAAGGCCAGTAGAGGGAGCCACATGAACGAAATCGTTTTTCATTCTTGACGCGGATACTTTTAGCTTCACAACAAAAAAAAAATTAATAAAAAATATCAATGTATGCTCATTTGATCGCATTTTTAAAAACGTACCAATAGATGGCCCACCCTGTATATAAGAATATAAGGTATTTCATTGTGTATAATAGCGGAAAAATACTAGAACTAATCAGAAATTTGTCAAAAATTTAGCGCTACATTCAGTTACAAATGCAGTTGGTAAAAATACATAATAATTGTAAAAACAAAATTAAAATTTGAAAAAATACAAAAGCGTAATGAATAAAATACATAAATGAATAAAATAATGGAGTATGAAATAAAATAATGTTAATAAATGTAATTTGATACTTAAGATCGGCTAAAATTTATTATTTATTATAACATACTATTATAAATAAATAAACACATGCCACTGCTGACGAATATTAATTTCTTTGGGAAAGCAATAATATGTAATGCCTTTTGTATTAGAATGAAATGTATGATTTACAGTTTTGAACACAACACGTGAGCATTTCTACAAATCAAATAGAATATGCTAATTAATTATTTAGAAAAAAAGATTGATAAATTATTAGGTGTTGGAATTAATTCGTAGCGTTTTTAATGAAAGAATGTTATTTATTTCACATGAGCATTAAAAAATACATTAATGAAAGTACTTCCCATCACTTGTAAAACGCTACGAATTAATTCCAACACCTAATACAATAAAGGAAATAGTTTATGAATAAATAAGAAGCACGATTTTTTTATAGTATCATTATACATACTCCAACTGTTGTTGCTACGTAAAACTTAAAGAAGTTCGCTCTTAATCACTCATCGGTCACCTCGAACTGAACAAACTTCTCGAAAGAATAACGTAATCAAGGAGGACGCGAGATCTGATTTACGCATGACACGAGACTCTGCTTTTTGATCGCTTCTAACCTAATGTACATATATAGGTAATGTACAACTGGTACTGGTAATGGTAGTAGCCATGTTGCTTTTTACAATTTTGAACAAAATTGTAATTGATTTAGGAACAGTTGCCATTTTGGATTACTGTGCATCCTCGGGAACGAAATATCTTATATTCTTATACCATGATCTGTATTACCGACTAAATCATATAATTTTTGTATAACAAATACTTTTTTTCTCTTTCACAGATTTTAAAATCCTTTTCTAGAATTAAAGTATACGTATTAATACGTATCTGTGAGGTGGAATGTATGCCGAGAACGACCAAAAATTTCGAAATTCATATATTTTTTACCATTTCTTAGTGTAACATGGCGTCTCGAACTGTCAACATATGTCGTGGTACGAAAGTTTTGCAATCTGTACTTAGGAAATAATCCACAGACATGTAGTTTGCATGAACAAATAACGTCGAGTTCTTAGAATTAGACTTAGACACTTTAACGAGTGACGAATTTGTTATATGAAAATTAATACAAATGTGCGACTGTGTGTATCATAGATTGCATGAGATATTTATATATAAAGCTGGAAAAACAATGGAAAAATCTCTGTCTAGTGACTTCGTCAGAGTTTGGGTTTCACTTTAGGATCTTTTTAAGACTATTTACAATTTTGAACAAAACAATTTTAAATACAAGAATCGATTCTGAATATCTGCTGATATTCATATCAGCTGAAATTCTTATTCTCTGTTCTTTATTCCTTTGATTGTATGCAACCCCTCATAGAATCATTTCATCCTTGTTTTTCTGTCAGATTTTTCAATTGTATGTAAAAACGCATCAAAGTCTAATCTCATTTTTTTAGGTGCGGGAGGCTAAACTGTGTAATTACCTTCTTTATAGCAAATATTTAAACCATATAATATGAAAATATTCAATAAGTATTACTATATAACAAAAAATTTTTCTCTTTCTACTATACGACTACGTTTACACGACTCAATTTACCAAAGTTATAATACCATATTATGAAACTGGCCAATCATAGTTATTTCTCTACAGAATAGAATAACTGTGATTGGCCACATCGATGTTATAACTTCAGCGTAAATCGAATTATGTAAACGTAATCAATACAATGTTCATATATACAGAGCTTATAGATTGTTACACATAATAAAATCAAACTGATATATGATTTTTTTCTTCCAAAATCCTTATCCAAACCAATGATTACCCATGCATTCTCTAGTCCATTCTGTTTGACATAGCCAACACCAATGATAGCCACATCTTGCTCTTGTGCATACCATGTGCATGCAACCCCCTGCAAAATATACAATTTATTATTTATAAATATACAAAAATGTTTTTATTCTCCTTGGGAAACAAAATCTTGAAAATAAAATTATGGAATTCTGTTTTGTGTTATATAAATGTATACTATTCCGTCATTGACAATTAAAGTGCTTTTTCGTGCTGACACTCGACGCTCATTTTTAGCGTCAGCACGAAAAAGAATCTTTACTCTTTAAATAATTCCATCGAATAAAGTTTATTTTTAAGTTTATATGTTAGTGAAAAATTAATTTTGTACATGTACCATCTCTTTCAGTAGGAGTTCTGCATTTAGGACAAGGTTTCGTAGATATCTGTATCGTTTTTTTGCTAGCTTCTTCCCATTTAGCCTATAAAATGCAAGCAATAAATGAATTTTTAAAAAAGAAATGCCTTGTTTTCTGATAGATATATCGTTAAATTTAACTAACTTCGTCAGCTTTTGAGAGATCTACTGAATAATTTCTAGAAGAAAAAACACTTGTGGATGTTTCCGATGTTTGTGATTCACATTCTCCTACGTGATAACCTTGTAAACATATTCTGCAAAAAACATACTACAAAAAAATGATTAAATCAGATTTGAAAAATTATACTTAGTCTGTTTTCTGCACTAGACTATACTAGAACTCTCTTTCTCGCTTTCGACAAATATCAAACATATACCTATCAATTTAAATTTAAAAAGTGTACACTAGTTCAGCCACAGAAAACAAACCAATGAACTGATATGATCTCAGTAAGGATGCACAGGATCGTAAAATTATCAGATATCCGGACAGAATGTAACATCGGATATCCGGTATCTGATCGAAGGTAATTTTTCCGAGTTGAATATCCGATATTTTCCACGGCACGCTTTACGCCGAAGTTATAACATCCATGTTATGAAACTGGCCAATCACATCATTTCATTCTTCAGAGGAATAGCTATGATTGGCCAGTTTCATAAATCATCGATGTAACTTCGGCGTAAAGCGTGCCGTATAACAGAGGCCGTCTTAAAAAAAAAGCTTAGAGAAAAAAATCGTATAATTTTTCAATAATGTATAAGATATTATAGCATTATGAACATGCATACTTATTTCTAGAACATTTGTATAAGAAAAAATCGGCAATTTAATAATATCAAATTTTATCAATTTAATGATATTAAATCGGATATATTCTCGAATACTAATGATATCCGGCTATCCGGTCGGGTAATAAAAGTGCCTGTTATTACCGGATACTTTTCGGAGCATCCCTAACGATCAGTACTGATATGTATTGATTTTCAGCAAGACTGAAAATTCGGTTTATCACAAATATTCACATGATTACTCTAGCGAAAAAATTTCGCTGAAATTATTTCACGTTTTGAAACATTTCAGTAAATTGCAGAAAATTTGCTGAAATTTCTCTAAAAATGAATTTTTCAGCGAACATACTGAAAAATCGTTGAAACTAAACTGAAATTTTTCTGAAATTTTTCTGAAATTTTCCTGAAATTTCTCTGAAATTTTTACTGAAATTTTGCTAAAAATAAATTTTTCAGCTAAAAATCACTGAAATTAAACTGAAATGTTTCTGAAATGCTGAAATTTTGCCGAAACGTGCTTCAAAATGTGAAATAATTTCAGCAAAATTTTTCTACCAGGCTAATAATAAAAAAATAATGGCAAATTATTTAATGAAAATGTGTTGTGTGTGTACGGTTATATTTTAATAGTTAAAGAAAACATTTAATACACACACACACACACACACACACACACACACACACATGTGTTTCATTTTAATTGCCTTAAGCAAATATCTCAGAAATATGAAAGATACGAAAAAATGTTTCAGGCAAAAGTTGTACGGTTTCGAGAGGGACATGAGATGGTGCCATTGATTTAACTTTGAATAATTATTTGAAGGTCACATAAAGGTCATTTTTAATTTTTTAAATGAAACTTCCTATTTTTCATTACATTTTTTTATAGCTTATCTTAAGAGCTTTCCAAAACATTATAATGAAATATTTTTTTCATAAAGTACTTTTCGAGTTATGAAGCTTGAAAGTCACAGTATGCGCCGGCATTAGCATTACGCAAGATATCCGACCGACAGCTAAAACCTCTTGAGTGTCAGGATCATGTCCTGAATAACATTTGTCAAGATCAAAGCCATTAATTAAATTATATTTTTTTTTTGTATTATGTACTCATTTCATTTTCTAATAGTTTTTTATTGTCAAATTGAGATACGAGAGTCGTTTGAAAAGTTTTGAGCCTCAACATGAAGACAGCATTACTCATCAAAACGATTCTGATACTACAATATGGGCAAAATACTCAAAAAAATTGTTAAATATAAGATAAAATTTAAATATAAGATACAAAATACTCTTAAAAAAGTATTCAAAAAGTATATAAAATACTCTCAATAAAATAAAAATGTATTTAAAAATGTATTTTTAATATTAGGTGTTGGAATTAATTCGTAGCGTTTTACAAGTGATGGGAAGTACTTTCATTAATGTATTTTTTAATGCTCATGTGAAATAAATAACATTCTTTCATTAAAAACGCTACGAATTAATTCCAACACCTAATACATATTATATTTCAAATACGCTCCTGGCTGAGATACAATATAATAACGCTTAGAGATTATTCACCAAATATAAATAAGGATAAGTGATGCATTATACACATCATGTGTGAAATGGAACTTTAGAATGAGTCAATATAAGTACAATTTTAACTTTCATCAAAAAAATGTTTACATAATTTAAATATATTTAGTATTTGCAAATTTAAAATACAAAATACTAAAAAAAAAAGTATTTCAATGCAAAATACAAAATACTCTCAAATAAAGTATTTAAATACGAAACAAGATAAAATACAAGATAAAAATATATTTAAATATGTATTTTAAATACATGTACTTCAAATACTGCCCATCCCTAAATCGTACATATTTTGCAAGATATCTGTGAAAATTGTAGCCGATAGTTTGGACACTCATTTGTTGTTTGAGAGTCATTTGTGCCAGTCGATGTCAGTGTCTTTGACACTGTCGTTTGATGAAAATCTGTGTCCTCCGATCCTAACTTTGAATCCAGAAAATAGGAAAAAGTCCTTGGGAATCAGATCTGGTGAATATGATAGGTAGTTAATTAATTTGAATCGTAAATTTTGTTATGGTGATCATCGATATTCGATTTTTTCTATTTTTACAAAAATACTGACATCGACTGGCACAAATGACTGCCAAACAACAACTGAGCGTCCATAATGGCTACAATTTTTACAGGTATCTTGCAAAACATGTAATACTCATCGACATATAGTACTGGACGGAGCATGCGGCGAAATATTGGGTCATCTAAAAAGTATCCGCGGTTTTTTGTCACTAGATAGTGTTGATGGTCAACACATCTAGTGACAAAAAACCGCGAATACTTTTTAGATGACCCAATATCTTTGATCTTTCGTTTTGCGGACCTAGAAAAAGTAAAATAAATATGTGCACGAAACCTTCTTTCTACTATTGTCCTATTGGTCGCTACTACCCAAACATCATTCTATCTCTTTCTAGGTCTATTAAGATGGTTTTGATGAGTAATGCTATCTTCATGTTGAGGCTCAAACTTTTCAAACGATCCTCGTATTTGAGGATATCAAAATCACAAAATGATATACTTTAAAACTTGTAAAAAAAATGTTCTATCCTTAAAAATGTTTTATAATCCAATTAAATGCAACTTTTAAAGGCCCTGTAGAAGGTCCCGGGAAAATTCTAATTGAATCTTGTTCTGGGTGAACAGATCTACAATTTGAAGGGAGTAATGACCCATTTGAATTTTGCTAAAATCCGACCTTGAACTCGAAATTTGATCATTTGTTCACATTAATCGGGCTGTATTTCTTAAGGCGTATATTGTAGAGCTAAATGAATTATCATCATGTTTAGCGGCCAAAAAACATACAAAAAAGCTACGTTTAAATCTGGATTAAGCTATTTTTGCATCAAATCAAACATGTATTAAGAAAAATCAAAATTTTGATTAATAAATTGTTTAGCGATTTCTAAATCTTAATATTTTTAAAATAAAAATTTAGGGGTGTTCTTTTAGCATGAAAGGAAAGCTTTTGAACTGAGAGGCCGATTTAAAAAAATTTTTTTTTCCTTATCAGTTTAACATAAAAAATGTCCTAAAATAATCGCCAAATATTATGTTTGTGAAGTTAGCATCGCTATTTTGAAAAACAAAAAAAAATCAAAATTATGCTAGATTGTTTTTCGCTACGTTGTGCCGCAAACCGCACTTCGATATCTCAAAAAACAAGAAAATTGAAAAAAAAAACCATTTTTAAGTCCAACACCGCCATTTTGAAATACAAAAAAAAAATCAAAATTGTGCTAAATTGTGTTAGCTTTGTACTAACTTGTGCCGCAAACCGTAATTCGATGATGCAATTATTGTAGTTTATTAGCAAATTGCAAATTAAGAATTGGACTCGAATTTTAAATGATGGATATTCCAAGCGGACACTGTCTATGCTGCAACTTCTAGGGAGGATTAGAATATGATTTTTTTTTTTTCGGGATGGCGTAGCACATGTGTATGAAATAATCGCATGGGCTCGTGCTTGTGTGTGGCTAACGATTTCGCCACATTTCGCCAGAGTATCAATCATGAAACTTTATCCCTAGGATGGAAAGTGAAAGGTGAAAATTTTAATCATTGAAGTTAATGGAGAAATTTTTCTAATTCAAATTTTTTTAATTCAAATCCATGTAAAAAATTATAATTAAAAAATGTGTAACTTGAAGCACAATATGCAATTGAATAAAAAAAGATGAAAAAATATGTAAAAAAATTTTTTAGAACGAAAATGTTGCATGCAAAGAGTTACTTACGCCACATCCACCGATGCATTGAATTTTCCGGCATTCTGTATCATCTTCTGTAGAAGGTGGTATAATACCCATCCCGCAATTTGGTTGTGGACATAAAAGACCACCAGCACGTAAAACATATTCTTCCGTACTAAATCTCTGATATCTTTCATACTGCATATTATTATACATACATATACTATGAAGATATAAAAAATTCAATTCAATATGACAAATATATAAAATTATGTTATACTATTGACCTGTTCCATGTTAAGGAGATGAAAATGATGAATTTGATGGATAAAAGAATTGGGACATCCAGCAGGGCAAGACAATGTATAATATCCCTCGGTAGTATCAAATTCAAATTGTCGCTCGTGTAAACGAATCGTGCAATATTCACGAAAGCAGTCAAGACAAGTCACATGACCAGCCTCGCATGGAAATACCAGTACAGTATCTCTAGATAGCAAAATATCGACATTAGTTATCGTCTAAAGCAAGTAATACTCTAAACTAAGATATTATATTTTCATACTATTAAGCACCTGATATCGGTGCAGGCTAGACAAGGAATATTCTTCAAGTTTGGCTTTATGAGATAAAGAGGTACAGCTTCATCATTTTCCCCTAAACTGGGATGCTTAGCACATTTAAAATAAAAATGAGCATAATTAATCTGACTCTCTGTTTCATCACTAAACATATTTGAAGTTACAGGACAAAAATCACTTTCGCAATGTACGGATATTCTCCTTGGTTGCAACACATCTGGCCAACATTGAGGATCTCTATCAACAGTTACAGCACCACTACCGCATCTTGCACATTTGACCCTTAATTTACCTGCAGTCACATCTTTACAGGGAGCCGAACAGTATACGTAAAAATGTGCTCGACTTTCCTGCTGCTCTGTCAGCAATAATAAGATGATGAATTAATCATCCTCGTTTCTCATTATTAATACTTGTAGAATTAATCATTTAGACTAATATCGTTGTCACCTTCAGAGGATAAATTTTGTTGATCTGATTCATCCAAGGGTAAATCCATAAGTGTCTCATTCATAGGTTTGCTACCACTGTCATTCAAATTGGATGTCTCTGATGTAGATTCCTCTATAAGACTTACGTTTGCTCTCCTTTTATCTTGCATTTTATGGGGCGTTCGTACTGCATGTAAAATGCTCTGTTGTCCTAAATCACACTCCTGCAACATTAAATGTAAATGAATATTGTAATCAGATATCAGCAAGTGGAAAAACATTTTTATATGCATGTGTATATAAGCAAGCTCTCACCTCTATTATTATTGAATCGTGCAGTTCTTTACCTGCAAATATAATTTTAATGTCTTCCGGCGCTATCCCCATCCGAGGCGCAACGATCTCCTTTAGATTTTTTATGTCCCATTTAGGATCCAACTCGACGGACAGAGTATTGCCTGTGTTCGTTTTAATGTATATGCTTAAAGAATTAGACATCTTCTGCTTGCCAAACCAAAATAATCGCAACATTCCGAGAAACGCGCTTTTCACTAAATTAAACAAAAAGCTCATAATTCTCGTATGTTTCGTACGAGCTCGTTTTTGAACTAGTTTGGACACAGTTTGAATTCACATATCAATTCGAATGGATTTAGACTTCAATTGATGTATGTACGTAAACATATATGTATCGATTGTTAGACTATCATATGGTGGAAGGATAACATCATAACATGAGGTCTGTTCACGTTAAGACTTAAACATATGGTCTGTTTTCTGTTCCTGCACTAGCACTCCCTTTCTCACTCTCTTTCTCACAACAAATATCAAACATATATATACTTTCTATCTCACTTCAAGTTTCAAAAGTGTACACTAGTTTAGCCATAGAAAACAGATCTATAAGGCTGGAAACACAATGAAAAGCACAGGTAATAGGAACAGGGAATAAAAGATTTCAACCTATCAGAAAGCGTCCATTCTATTATTCATGGTTTCTGATAAGTTGAAAAAATCTCTTATTCCCTATTTCTATTGCCTGTGCTTTTTATTGTGTTTCCAGTTTAATAGCACAGGCAATAGAGAATAACGAGATCTCCAATCAGGGGGTCGATTTTGTATCTTCAAACAAGGGGATCAATTTTGTATCTTGAAACGAAAGTGAGCAAATTAATTAGATGTTGACCAATGAAATTATCAGTATTCTAGTAAATTTGTTCATAACTTTATAATTTTCACCTCGTTTCAAGATACAGAATCGATCCCAAGGTGAAAATTATAAAAGCGAGCAAATTTACTAGGTGTTGACCTATGAAATAATAAGTATTTTAATAAATTCGCTCACTTTTATAATTTTCACCTGGGGATTGATTCTGTATCATAAAATAAGGTGTAAATTTGCTCACTTTTGTAATTTTCACCTTGTTTGAAGATACAGAATTGATCCCTAGGTGTTAATCATGAAATTTTATTTTTAGGATGGAAAATGAAAAGTGAAAATTTTAACCATAGAAGTTAATGGAGAAATTTTACACTTTTCACTTTTCATCCCAGGAAAAAAGTTTCATGATTGATGACCCTGAGCTCTGATGTGTAAATTCAATATTTTGGCTGCGTTCAGCGGATTCAGATCTAAAATGCTGATTGGATGATCTAAAAGAATACATCAATAACTGCGAGCCCTCATTCAACTGTTGAATCCACTGAACACAGCCATTATATCCCAAAACTCTGATTGATCAGCTCGTTATTTCCTGTCCTCTGTGCCTATTGCCTGTAAGTATTACGTGAAGTAATCGAATCTCTCTCGGATTGAAAATCGGATTGAATACCTAGTTTCCACCGAGGGTTTAATCCGGATCAGAATGTAAGAATCAACCAACTACAGTCGAGCATTCCCCTGTCGTTCGACTGTGACAAGGGAATACTTGACTGTAGTTGGTTGGTTCTTACATTCTGATCCGGATTAAACCTTTGATGGAAACTAGGCCAATTTTGACCACGTGATCCTTTTCGCTGAAACAGCCGGTTTGAGCAGTCGTGAAAATTTACTTTAGGTTCGTTTGACAATGTAAATCTGAGATGCGAGCTAGCAGATGGCGAGCTTGATCACGTGATCTTCGAGCAATTCGGGTGTCAAGAATTAATTCCGAACGATATAGAGCTGTAAACTGTCCTTTAAGATTAGATTATATTGGGTCATCTAAAAACCGCGGATACTTTTTAGATGACCCAATATAATGAAATTGTTTATTTTTATGAATTAAATAAAAATACTCTATTAATTGAAAATATCTTTTGCTTTAAAAACTGATAATAATCTTATATACTAAAAATAGATCGTTACACTTGAATGTAGCAGACTCACATACGCAAAAGGCGTTTTCTTAAAAGAAAATACTACATTGCAAATAAATTTCAGCAATTTGAAATTTATAAATTATATCACTTGATTTGTATTTGTTAGTTTTTAATATATTAATACAGTTTGATTTTATTTCATTCTATATGTGCAACATAAGTTCCCAGCAAATGAGAATGGATTAAAATGGATTGAAATTTTTTCTATCCGAATGCGTATTTTAAAAATAGCGAATACTTTTTTTTGGATTTAATTGGATTCAATTGGATTCAATTAGATTCTATTGGATACAATTGGATTGAAAAACTGTATTTCCTATTCAAAATTTTGAATTGAACAGTATTCACAATATGTGTGTTGTGCACAAAAAAAGCTAATATTATTTTTAGATTGAAAAGTATAGAGATATGCTCCAATTCCTATAAATGAATAAAAATGCAGTCAGGATTGAAAAGCATTTATTTTAATATTCGTGAATCAATATTTTTGAAAATCTGATTTCAATTCATTTCAATCCATTCTCGTTTGCTGGGCTTTGATCTAAAAATTAACTAGCAAATTCTTTGTTTTTAAATACGTAATCTCAAATTCAAATAAAGAGAAAAAGAATTAAAAACTTACTTTCCTCATTAAATATTGTATAATATATAATGTACTCCATCAATTTCTTTATTTGATAGCATTTGTTTCAGCGTTTGTAGACTCAGACATTATAACAATTCAAATACACTATTTGTAAAATAGAAATATTAAAAAAGATGAATACATGTGTTAACGAATCAGTTGGATACATTATTATAAATATACAGGTTATAAATTTAATTTAGGCGCGAAAATCTGTATTAGCTCTGTGAGCTCGAGCTTTGAATCCGCAGTGAATCGAACAGCTCGATTGGCTCTAGAAATGTTAATATCAAACGCAGATGAGAGGATGAATATGTAGCAGAAAGATGCGAGTTGCCGAACGATTTTCGAGGTAAAAGAGCAAACGTACGTTTCTGATTTGCAATGCCAAACGCACCTTTTAAAGGTGCCTTTTTATGACGCTCGATGTTCATTTTCAGTATCAAAATAAGTCACGTGATAGAAATTGAGGAATATCAAGCGTCAATTTTAATCTTTGTTTTGACGCTGAAAATGAGCGTCGAGCGTCAGCATGAAAAGGCACCTTAAAGTGTTGTGAACGTCAAAGTGAACAAAGCCTAGAACACGATAGTTTTGCAATCGTTTTATGATTATCTGCTGAGATAGGACTATTCCTTTAGATCTAAAAGTATAATCCAATCAATGCAAAGAAAATTTCCAACAGTGCAAAATAAACATTCTGCTGAACGCAGCCTATGAGAAACAAGAACAAGGAGAGCAACAGAGAACAAGGAAAATAATGGCGTCTCCTCGACCCAAGTCACCTCGAATCCCTGTTTCCACGAAGAAAGAGGACAAGGAAGAAAGCTTTTGGGATAAAATCGGAACTCTCGGACGGAAGAAACGTATCAAAGAAGGTACTGTCTAATTCTCATATTGTATAATCATATTGTATCATGCAAAATTCGAATGTACTTGGTTACGTCATTTTCCGATGAAGCTTGTATCCTTATATGGAGTGAGACATATTTGACAAATGAGAAACATTGAAGTTGTTTGAAAATAGAAAAACTTTCCATTTTAGTTTAGCTCAATCATCTTAGATCAATCAATTGCACAGTGTTTACTATACAGATACATTTATAATTAATTCTCGTACTCTAAAAATTTTTTAATTACCATTTCAATTATGGATACATCTTAAATATTAATGGATGAAGATTGTAATTTGAAGGATTTATATGTAACGAGACTACTTTACTTAATTTTTTTTTAGTGAAAGATGTTCAAGAAGAGGGAAAATACGCAATTGATTCACCTGGATTCGCCGCTAATCCTGATATGCCACCAGAGGAGTACGCTCTTGATGAGAATGAAGAACGTTCTATGATAGAGCCGAAATCTTTAGAAGATTCCAAGTTACGAGATTTGATATTCGTCTTAATCGAATGGATCAACGACGAATTAGCTGATCAGCGAATTATTGTGAAGGATATTGTAGAAGATCTTTACGATGGACAAGTGCTACAAAAACTTTTAGGTATAAATATATGCTCACGATTACAGGATCAAAAATTCAGAATAATACTTTGCTAAAGTCAACATTTTGCTTTTTTAGAAAAATTAACTGGGGAGAAATTGGATGTACCCGAAGTAACTCAATCTGAGGAAGGACAGAAGCAAAAACTTGCTGTTGTCTTATCCACTGCTAATCGTGTCCTGGGTCGATATCCACCTTACAAATGGAGCGTTGAATCTGTACATTCGAAAAATATCGTTGCAATTTTACATCTGCTGGTTGGTCTAGCACGGCTCTTTCGTGCTCCCGTTAGATTGCCAGAAAGAGTTGCTGTTCAGGTAGTTGTAGTACGTAAAAAGGACGGTCAATTGATACACAGAACAGTGAGAGAAGAACTAACGACAACATACGACGACTTGGGCATGCGTTGTGAGCGTGATGCATTTGATACTCTTTTCGATCACGCACCCGATAAATTAGCCGTTGTAAAAAAAGTAAGCTTCTATCATGGCGATTCTATTTGTGACTGTTGTTCTTCTTTCTGACATGATTTTATATCATCAATCTTCTTTTCCAGTCATTGGTAACATTTGTTAATAAGCATTTAAGCAAAGTACATTTGGAATTAACTGATTTGGATACTCAATTCCACGATGGTGTTTTCTTAATTCTGCTGCTCGGTCTCTTGGAGGGTTTCTTTGTTCCATTAGGCAGCTTTCATTTGACACCAAGAACCATTGATCAAAAAGTTCATAATGTTTCATTTGCATTTGATATTATGCGAGATATTGGGTTAGCAAAACCAAAAGCTCGCCCTGAAGGTTTGTAATTTCGACAACTAGTCGCTAACGTTCTAATCTTGCAATTTTTTTTTATTTTATATGTTTAAACGTTTCTCCTCTTACAGATATCGTAAATCTGGATCTGAAATCTACGCTTCGCGTGTTATATAATCTCTTTACGAAATATAAGGGGATGAATTAATAAAATTGATGTATTCAATCGCTTTACGCGTAAATGTCGTATTACTAAAGTTGATAGTCTAATTGTTCTAACAATCATTGAAGAACTGCCATTGAAGAGCTATTTATAAAAATTAATTTAACGTATTGATCTGAGCTTTTTTAGCTGTACTACTTTTTATATTCTATTAAGTTTTAGTTTTTTTTCTTTTAAACTAATAAATAATCGATCCGATAAATGAAAGTGTAGAAAGAGACGTAGAAATGTACAGCTAAAACAAGATTTTACACACACACACACACACACACACACACACACACACACGAATAAATTGTAAGTATATATCGTGCCTTCTTAC